TTGGATTTGATCGTCATTCTTATAATGCAACCAAGGCCCCAAATTGCGAATCGCGATTTTTGGTTTTATTTTTTGGCTGTAAAAGGACGCGAAACACAGAACCTCAACTTTACAGTCCGGCACACTAAACACTGGGCCACGCACGACACATGCAGTATAGAGCGACCCTGGTTCCCTAAGATGACACAGATGGATCTGTGTTATTAAATATCTCATTAGGATCACAGACCAGACCACTTTATGTATTAATACTGGCTTTGTCAGGTTGAATAGATAACTTTGGCGGTCATCAATCATTGTCATGGTTAGCAGCCTGTACGATTACCTTAGTCTAATTATTAATTAGCTACTAATCTATAATTACTAGATACAGTTTTAACTAAGTTTGTAATAAATATTCAGTAATTAAGAAGTAATTAGTAACCGTTTAATAATTAGATTTAGATGATCATATTCAACATAATAAACTTCTTGATGAAATGTAGAAGCCCCTAGTGGCACAGCTGTATCTTTACGGACCTACAACGCTAGAAATCGGATTTCGATACCCGTGGTGGGCAGAGCACAGATAGCCCATTCTGTAGCTTTGTGTTTAATTACAAACAAACACACACAAACGGAATGTAGAAAATGCTAGTAAAGATTTCTACGGCGTTATCTAAAACAGTTGTAGTTTCTATGTTTCATCTATTGTATAACCAAGAAAATTAATACCTTCTATCAAACGAACTGTGTTCAATAAACGTCTTCACCCCTTATAATACACCAATGGACACTACATGTGAAATTCGTACGTTCCGATTATCTAGGTATATATTTTTTAAAGTTATATGTTTGTGTGTTAGTTAAATGTTTATCTCGATTTTTACCTATATTCTAGATACGATAAGATAATAAAAACTGTCACATTATGCTGTTCCATCTTTAGATAACAATGAAAATCTCTATCTCAATGTAATGTTAACGTTTAATAAATTACTAGAGTAACAGAACACATAAGTGCTAAAGTCGAGAGACAGGTTTCCTCTTGTATAAGGTAATAGTTTTACATAGACAGGACTATACAATGTATATTCTTTTTTCTCAACTAGATTAATATAAATCCTCAAATTACCGACTTGTTTTTATACCATTCACTTCCTGGAGGTCCACATATTGCATCGTAAACGAGTAATTTGTTTTGGTATACAAAACGCAGTCCAAGAACCTAGGAAGACTCGAACATTCACAGAGAAGTCCAGCAGTAATTACGTGATACATACTGCCGACATTTGTCGAAACGTACATTGAACATTTGAACTGAACTGATTGTTTGTATGCAACGAATTCAACGTAGAAGTGATGTTTTCTACAAGTGAAACCTTATGAAGCTTTCGGTTTCACAACAAGCCTAATTCTATGTACAATGTAAGGATAACAGTGTATATGGTAACTCAAAACATGTCTGGAGCGATGAGAAGTAGTTATATATTCCTTGCTTTAATCTCTTGCTTAATGATGCTGTCTTCACTGTCCTTGCACATAACATGTCTGATCAATTTCCATCTAGCCTTCTTCATAATGTCATTAATTCAGGGTAATTGTGCCATTTCTCTCATATGTTTCACACATACACGATCTATAAGTCTAAATCCAAAGATTATTCTTAGACAAATCTGTCACATATACTTTCTTTAGGTTTACAGCTTTCAACTGAGTACAGAAGAACTGATCTAACTAGAGTAAATATATAGAAAAACTTGGGGTGGATACAAAGTCTATGAGATTTCCACACTCCTGATAACACATACCCATGGCTTGATTTGCTTTCCTAGTTCTTCCATTGAGTTCTATTTCAAGTCACCTATTTCTTGTTACCATTGAGCCAAGATATTTAGAATTGTCTACTTCTTCTACGACTTCGTTGTTAAGCGTGATTTGTTCTGTCATTGCGTTTTCAGTTGTTAGGATTTAAAAACAATAATCCTATATTTGTAATTAATATCTGTATCTCGCATATTGTTTCGTAAAATATCACAACTCTGTTTCCACTAAGGTCCTGATATCACGCTCAGTACTAAAGGTTTTATTCTACTGTAAGTCGATAGTTATGAATAATTACCTGTATGCCTTGTTAAGGTTTAGAAACTAAAAGAGGCGGGATATTTGTAAGTCGGTGGCTTTATCTTTCATATCTTATAATTTCAGTGTTACTCCAATTTATTGTCTTAATTTTTGACATAATGCTCTACGGTATTACAGATAGATCGGTATTACCGAGTATTGTATGTCTACTAGCTGACGAATCGTTCAACGAATAGGAAAGACATACGGATAAGATCGACCCACAGATGTCACTTCCCAGGAGGGGTACAGAAGGGTACATGTCTAGTCTGGAGAAATTCAGTCCATCGGCTCACCAGTTATAAATTTCACACACAAACATTTTTGTTACATAATGGTTTAGATTGTGCTCCTGTTATTTTCTGTTGGTCTTTTTGTCTTTGATACTCATGTTCACAGAGGATAGTGTAAATTGCATTTTTTCCTTTCATTGGGGCTTAAGGCTATTTAGTGTGTACTAGTTGTGAACGTATTATGTTGTGGCTTCTGATTTCTGATCTGACCTTATGTTGTTTACATAATATCTATATGGTTGTGTTCTGTGTATCTGTTGTTGATGCGGTTTGTACAAGTGTTTTTCTTTCAACTTTTGAGTTTCTTCGGTATTACAAATCTTATTCGTTCTTGAAACTAGGGGAATCTATAATACCTGTCTTTACAGTGTTTTGTTTGTTTGATGTAGCATCGAATTATTCACCCCTATCTGTGGTTTTCCTGTAAACACCTTTAATATATGAGTTATGTGCCTTGGTAACTATCAATTCAAGGAATGGAAACTTGATATTTTTTATATTTAAATTGTGAATTGTATCACAGAATGTTTCCATCAGGTGGCTCACAAATTCTTGAATCTTATCTGTAGTATGTGGTCATTTTACGGATGTATCATCAACTATCAGAATCAAATCTTGGGACCTAGAGCTGGTATTTTGAAGGCGTTAACTTCGAAATGTTCTAGGTAAAGGTTACTGATTAGAGGTGATAAGGGTGAACACTTAACTAGGCCTTTTTGCTGTTGGTTGTATTTATCTTCACGTTATTAGAAAGTTGTGTTGACAAAGCAATCTGTGAGTTCTATTATCATGGATGTTGCCATTTGAGAGTTCTCCTTAAGAATTCTATCATTTTCAAGCCGTTGGCAGAATATGTAGTGTATCAGTGGCTGGTACGTTAGTGAAGAGGTTGGATACGTCAAAGCTGATAATTGTCTTGTGACGTTATCATGGTTGGTTTTATAATCTACAAAGTTCTGAGTTCTTAACCTGTTAATAGTGATATCATATCTACAATATATCTTGCTAAGAGTTGGTCTAGTAAATCTCTGCAGTTAAGTATGGGACTGAAAGGGTAGCCTTGTTTGTAAATTTTGTGTAGATTATATTATGTTTTATACTATATTATTTATTTATTGTTACTTTCATTAACAGTACTGGTTATGCTAGTTAGTATATCAAATGCCATTAATTTTATATTTATTGTTTATTTTTATACTTTTATCATAAGGTTGTTTTGCATTGCTAGCTTAGTATATGTACTAAGGAATAACCTAAATCTTCCAAGTTGGCCGAACATCGTGAGATATTATTGGGATTACGGACGACGAAAATACTGTTAACAAACAGAGTGCCCAACTGATGAAACAATGCATTATAAACGTAAGAAAAGTATATTCAATCAGCTATACTCATGTACAGGTTGAATTTAAATTTCTCCCTAAGTATCCATCTTGCTCTGATCAGAAGTTAATATCAACAGATGTGTGGTGTGTTGCTGTGGTATAATGTTAATTATTTCTTTGCTAAATTCTTTCTGATGTTTTATGAGCAGTTGGTTAATTTTCTTCTCCGTGTTAGCGGTTGAGTTAGACTTGATTTTAGTGTAGTGACCAAGTAGTCTGTTGGCAGATTATGTAATGTGTCAATGGCTGGTACATTAGTGAACAGGTTGAATACATCAAAGGTGATAATTGTGTCTAGTTAGATGGAAGTAATAAGTTGTTGTCTTTCTTCATAAAAATTACTATTAATGGTTAGACATAGGTGATCATATACACTATTATCCATAGCAAGGATTGATACCCGATCGCCACAATCTTACTGTAAATACGTTTTGACAAGGTTTGGAATTTGTCACTAGAGGTTTTCAAATAGCCAACATTACTTAAATTAATGGAATGTACTTATATAGATAGTTGTAGTTAAATTCTCGTTGAAAATTTGAATAAATTATTTTCGCTTTTGTAATCATTCTGTTTTATATTGTTTTTACTAGACCACCTAATATGTATAGTAATTTATTGAATAGTAAACTTATTTGGTGTCTTCTACAAACTTAACATCTAAATCAATAATTGTATAGAAACTACAACTGCAGATTTATATAAACGATGGTATATTGTGTTATACAAAAATTCATGTTAAATGTTTTAATAACATCAAATGTTTCAAAACAAACTTCAAAAGCCAAATATTTAAAGAGATAAATTTCGAAGGAACTTTTAGTTTCTTAGTTTAAATATTGTTTTTATTTACATTCATTCAATGCTAGTCTTGCTTGAAATAAATTATAGTCTGATACATATGCTATTTTTTATACTTATGAAACCGTAAAAAGCAATGAATGGCGAATATTTTAACTCCATACACAGTTATTTGAAGAACAGCAAAATTAGTTATTTTTGCAACCATTTAAGGAATATATTTTTAATGTAGTTACATCGTTAAGTACGAATATCTTATCGAGTTTTGTACATTGAACTGTTATCAATGGCTGCCTATTACACCAGAAGGGTGAATAAGTGACTCACTAACACGCCATGTAAGGTGATTAAGAATTGACAGGCTGGATGTAGTTTGATCAGTAAGGAAGTACAAAGGGAGTAAAACACAAAAAAGGCCTTTTTTGGCACAATGAAAGAACAACTCTTTATTAGTTATTTTAGCCGACTAGTTTCGATAACACAGTTATCATCAACAGGGTTTGTGAACACGGTGTTACCTTAACCTGTATTAAATCCCAACCGTTAAGAGATAAATTCATTACAATGTTTTAAGATCGCGAAAAGAATTAACGCACAAGCAACGGAGAGCTTATATATGACGCTTACAGCAGAATAACAAATGGAGAATGAGTGTATATGTTTAACACCGTGAGTAGAATGGAAACACAACAAACGGGGGCGGCTTAGATGCAACGATAAAAACATGATAGAAAGTTAACAAATGGATGATTTATATTCAACACTGTGAGTAAAATGAAAAACACAACAAACGGCTTATATACAATGCTTACAATGGAACAGAATTCAACAAACAGTAAACTTATATTCAACACTATGAGTGGAAAGAAGCACAACAAACGGCTTATATACAACGCTTACAACAGAACAGAACTCAACAAACAGTGAACTTATATTGAACACTGTGAGTGGAAAGAAGCACAGCAAACGGCTTATATACAATGCTTACAACGGAACAGAACTCAACAAACAGTGAACTTATATTCAACACTGTGAGTGGAAAGAAACAGAACAAATGGGGGGGGGGGGTATATAAAACACTGTGGGTAGAATAGAAACACAATAAATGGAGGGGTTATATAAAACACTATGAGTAGAATAGAAACACAATAAATGGAGGGCTTATATACAACACTGTGGGTAGAATAAAAACGCACAAACGAAAACCGTATATTCAACATTGAGAACAGAATAGAAAACATAAAATGAAACATAAGGCATTGATAAGCTGAATAAATTAAACATTTTGTTTACTATTGATGTCATTCATTTAAAATAACTCATCTAGAACGTTAATATAGCTAATGAAACAAGTCCAAGAACTTCATATCAATAATGTACCCCTGTCACATGAATGATAACTAAACAAAACATTTCATGAAAACGTCTCAGTGTTTACATAATTATTACACATGAGAGAATTATTGTGATTCCATGAACAAATTAAATAGCAACTGACGTTGAAACTGGTGTCGTGCAGCGAGATTTCATAATCGTCTAAAATCGACAGTAGCACAAAAGACTTTTCTACAGGCGACACACCTTGACAAACAAAAATGTTGGACTTGTCCATTTTTAGTAACATAGAGAGGTCAAGGAAAACATTTCTCACTGAGTGTTGGATATAAACAGGTTTCTACTACTGAGAGCATAAAGTAGTGTTTTATCTTTGGTCAAGGCACAAGGTGTTTGTCAGCTTCACGAGATTTTCCGCATCACAAACTTCATATTCCCAGGAATAGTTCTGAAACTAATTTAAGCTACAACCTTTTTTACCAAAACGTCTATCAATTTTTTTAGTTTTCTGTAATATATCTAAATAAATATATACATTATTTGAAATGTCCAAATGTGAAGACGAGGTATACAAAGATCATATCTCAGAGCTAAGAAGGAAAGTGGGTATCACTGGTGACTAACTCTCGACACCCTTGTTCTTCAGCTGATGGTTGTATTATAGGGGTATTTTCTCTTACCTCTACACATTCGACCTAGAAAGAGGAAAAACTGTTTTCAACATAATGATTATAATAGAAATTCTTATTCGAGAGAGGACATTTCACAAACCAAATAAACAGACTCAAACAATAAAATTCAGGGCTTTACATTGAATGTTGTTTTGCTAAACCTCACTGTCACTAAATAACAAGGTTTGAACAAGTTCCAGTATTTGCTGTCTTGGAATTCACTTGTGTGGATTGAAAAGTATCTTAACGTTTAGCCCCCAGTGGCACAGCGATGTGTCTACGGACTTACAACGTTAGAAACCGGGTTGCAATACCCGTGGTGGGCAGAGCACAGATAGCCCATTGTGTAGCTTTGGGCATAACTTCAAACAACTTAACGTTGAACAAGTTCTACTCCATGATAAATATCGTATTGACTAGAAATAGTCTCCTCTGTATTTAACTTTAACGTGATTGTGAAATTTTTGCTTTTAGCGCTCTCTAGAGGGGTTTCCGTAACATATCGATTTTTGATAGTTCCTCTGTTTTGCGAAGGTATCGAAGTTCACTTATTTGCAAACGCTAATCATTCACAAACAGCTACTGCATTCAATTCCAGAACTTTATGTGTGATAATTGTTTGTTTGTTTTTGGAATTTCGCGCAAAGCTACACGAGGGCTATCTGCGCTAGCCGTCCCTAATTTAGCAGTGTAAGACTAGAGGGAAGGCAGCTAGTCATCACCACCCACCGCCAACTCTTGGGCTACTCTTTTACCAACGAATAGTGGGATTGACCGTAACATTATAACGCCCCCGCGGCTGAAAGGGCGAGCATGTTTGGTGGTATGCGGATTCGAACCCGCGACCCTCAGATTGTGAGTCGAGCGCCTTATCCACCTGGCCATGCCGGGCCCTTTATGTGTGATAAAGATAAACTTATTATTAAAAAGAGGGAGTTTTCCTTACCTGATAGGATTCTTCAAATTCTCTACTAATTCTCTTTAAAATAGATCCTGCTTCCCGTACACGTTCGTCCATCGAAAGAGTTATGGACTGTGATCGCTTACGCACCAAGAGGAGATTTGATACATGGGTTTGGATCACATCTGGGATCGTTTCATTAGGGTTCGGAACATTGTCATTATCTTGTAAGTTAAACACTGGATCACCTGTAAAAACATCGTAAGATGGTCACTAGAGAAGTTCGATGTCATTAAAATAATATGTAAAATTCTTAAATTAACTTTTTTTTCCATATTAAAATTTCATGTCCTACGGCTTGTATAACGGATGACTTAAAGGTGTAAATAAAAGTCTATATTGTAAATCAATATTTGAAAAATTAGCATCAAGAAATTCGTCGTGTCCCTCTTAAAATAATTCACCACTACAGACAGATGGCCAATAAGCATCTTAGAGAATGTAGGCATGATTCATTATTAGATGAACTCTCAGTATGTACATTACTTACTTCAAATTTCAAAATAATTATGATCATGGATATAAGGCTTAGACTATGTATTAAAAACTCCGCTATTAGCAGATAATAATTTCCAGTTTTTACACATCTGTTATAATACGGAAACACTATTTAAAGTTTTGATTAGATAGGAGCCGAAACAGACACATAATAAATACAACCCTAAGGGTTTCTAGCACCACAAAATAAAAGTGAATCGCATCATAATTTCATTTCGTCAGAAGTAGAGAAAACAATTTTAATGCATGAAACTTATACTGAGTTTTTACTGAAGTTCTAAAAGAAAATCCAAAAGGGCTGACGACCATGACAAAAATTCACTTAGACTGCAGTACTTTTTCACAAGTTCTAAGTAATCTTTATTTCAAAGATGAGGCGTATTGAATTCTAATGTTTCGCAAGCTTTCGGTGTTTAAACCGAAACAACAAAATCAATTACAACCAAAAATTATAAGATCTTTACTTATAACTTAAACATAGTCGTGTAAATATAAGCTTAGAACAGTAAGTGTTTTTTGTGTTGCTCACTAGGAGTCATAGACAAGGGCTTATCTAAATAACATCACTTTCAGTGCCATCTAAATAATCAAGTGTTTTAAAATAGCTTGTGCCCATATTATTCGGCGAAAGAGAATCAAACCATATAGCAAGCCAAATCTCGCTTTACACCACACAATAAATACTTTATACTTTAAAACTGTATATACTTTTGACAATCATCTTAATCATTTTAGTTTATTGTTAAGCGTAAATTTGCCCAATGGGCTACGTGCGCTATGCATTATAAATCCTCAAGCTTACCACTCAACCATTTGAAGACTATTTGATAAATCCCCCGTTGGGATAACATTAATTCTACGGTTTGTTTGTTTCTGAATTTCGCGCAAAGCTACACGAGGGCTATCTGCGCTAGTCGTCCCTAATTTAGCAGTGTAAGGCTAGAGGGAAGGCAGCTAGTCATCACTACCCACCACCAACTCTTGGGCTACTCTTTTACCAACGAATAGTGGGATTGACCGACACATTATACCCCCCACGGCTGAAAGGGCGAGCATGTTTGGTGGGATGGGGATTCGAACCCGCAGATTGCGAGTGGAGCTCCTTAATCACCTGGCCATGCCGAGCCCTAACTCTACGGATTGACAACGCTAAACTCGGGGGTTCTATTCCCCTCGGTAGATACAGCAGATAGCCAAATGTGGCTCTGCAATAAAACACACAAAAAACTATTTGATAAAAGTACTTTACATACAATTAAAAATAAAAGTAAGGCAGAAAAAATGCTCAATCAGTTAACAAAAACAAGATATCTAAATGAACATAGTTTAATCTGCTCTTTAAATGGTTTAGTACCGAGGAAAATATAAAAGTTAAATCTATTACACATGTAGCAGCAGTATCTTAACATTATATTTTTGTTCTATATTGATGCAAGCACAAAATAATGTTAACGAACCACATGCCTAAAATAAATAACATACTGTGTGTATATGTTAAGTAACCACGAACATCTGCTGTACTTTCATTAATTATAACCCCTATTTTCCATTACACGCTGTAATCTCAACAAGTCATTGATGGATAAGTTAGTTTGTACCCAAATTATGGTGGACAAGCTTATTAACGATGCATACTTTAAAGATCAAGCAATGACAGAAGGTTTACAACAAAATTAAGATGGTGATTGTTAGCACATACATAATTTAACTGTGTTTGTTTCAGATACGCTACTCATAAAGTTTATAATGATGAAATTTCTACTTCAAGGAAATTCATGCATTTAGCTTATGAGTTTGGTATGCAATAAAGAAGTGTGTAGTTCAGCCAAAATTCGCTACAACGTTAGTGCTATATTCCACTCGAATATCGCAGAACCTCGTCTTACGCGAGACAAATTGCTAGCACTACCTTAATTAATATATACTTTTTCTATTTGGTTGAGGTGATAATAACTTATTATATATATGAAAGACGTGAAAAAAGCAATAAAAATGATACACTCGCTCTTAGGGCTCGTTGATGTTAATACCCTCGTTACCAGCGAAGAACTGTAATTTCAACAATTAGGCTTCATTTGCTCTACAAATCATGAATAAAAATAAACATCAATTTATATAGTTGCAAAACCTATATGTTTCTAACAACACAATAAGTCTTACTTACTGTTGACTTCACGTGTGATCCTTCGTTGGCGAACAATAGCCTTCATGACAGTCAACGTTTTTGATTCTTTTGACATATTACACGAGTTCATGAGCTTATTTCAAACCAGCATGCAATGTGTTCATTCTCTGGACTGTAATATTTGCCTGGATTGTATATTCAACTCAAATGCCTAAGTAAAACTAGACAACACATCTAAAGCTGTCGTCTTTTATAAAAGTTTGCTTCATATGCAATTCCCTCTGTTATTTGCTACCTTATCTTATCTATAAACCTTATCTTAAGTGGTTACGTTCAGTGCATTTATTTTCTATTACGTGTTCTGAACGCAGGTGCTTTCTCACGATAATCAACACCATAGACAACATAGTAAAGGCTTCCAGTAAACCAGCGTTTCCCCAATTTTTGTCATCCACACTCCCTTTAACAAATATGGTTTCTTGCGCGCTTCCTTTTTTTTTAAATGAGTGAGTTAAGTGACGAGATGTAGAAAACGCTATATGTGTTGTAATGATTACTTATTATTTTCATTAGTAAAAATATATTAAAACGCTTGAATTTAAATTATTCCACTGTTCGTTCTATCCTAATCAAACACTGTAACAAACTTCAAAATAACGAAGTCGATGACTTGTTTAGATCGCCGTATTTCATCGAAACTGACTAACATGAAACTGCTTAGAGTAAAATATATTGATCGTTTCAGAGTTTCATTGAACACAAACCTTTGCTTTGAAATTTTATTTTGAGGTAGCTCAATCAACGGAATGAATTACAGCTGATAACATTCTAGGTGAGATGTGACAGGGAAGTGGCAGATGACAATAAAAACTGTGAATAGAAAAACAGAACAAAATGCAAGATGCATATCAAAAGCGATTGGTTTACTTGTAAACTTTTAACCTTGTCTATAAGTTTAATTTTTACTTGCATTCTCAAATATTGTTGCGTAATTAGTTTCATTATTTTCTTGTTTCGTTGTAATAAGCGCATAATAGTGAAGTTTATAAAACAATTTTAAAGACGAAAATGTTGTTAAGTATTACACTGTTGATTAAGATGTATTGTAGCGTTGTTATAAATATCAATCGTACAGAAATCAAAATTTTTCTGTGTCAAACTCTGTATACATTGTGCTACAACATGAAGGATATTTGTTTAAAATAAGATTGTATTGACAGTTTCTTTGCTGATTTTTTTTGACAAATTAGCCTTTATATTACTAAGACTACATGTAGTTATCCTTAATTAGGCCTGGCATGGCGCGGTGGTTAGGGCGCTTGACTCGCAATCTGCGGCTTGCGGGTTCGAATCCGTTGTTAAAAGAGTATACCAAGAGTTGGTGGTGATGACTAGCTACCTTCCTTCTAGTCTTATACTACTAAATTAGGGACGGCTAAATTTCAATTTAGTAGTTAAATTATAATTTTGATTTAGCAGTTAAGTAAAAGCCGATATATAGTCAGTTTATGACATTTGCCAACAAAATTGATCCACACAATTTTCTTTTTTAATACAAATACGTTTTAATATACAAACAACATATATAACAACAACATATATATAACAACAATATAGTTTACAATAACAGTTATTACAAACAATGATTTATAAACAAAAGTTTCACAAACTTGCAAGCAGTATAAAGTCTTCCTTTTAATCTGGAACTTCGTCGATATCTTATCGAGGGTTCACAATGAGCGAGTTGATTACGAGTTGACGTAGATATAATTCACTTAACGGGTAGCTAGTTAGCTTTGTCCTTCGTTACTTATCAGCCACACACACCGGTTTTTCCACCGTGACGTTATGTAATGTTTTCGTAAAAATACTAATGTCCAATGAGAATCCACTGAAGTTGAATGATTTGTAATGTTCGAAATTTATAAACGTTCCTAGTCAATATATCTGAAGTTCCCGATTGATGACCGTTACAACAATCACTTCCGACGTTTATAGCACACTGGCTATAGCGAACTAATAATAGATATACTCTTTTGGCGTGTCGCGTTGGTTATATTTATAGGCGTGGGAAGGTTTTCTAGAAAATTCAAATTATGTAACAATACAATTTAAATGTTTACGTACACACATATATTCTTGATTCTTACTCTCGAGAATCTTCTACAACTTTGGAGAGTAGGCGGGATTTTCGCAATACATATTTAACACTATAAACTATGCATATTTCTAAATATAAACTTAATCTAAACAACGTTGATATTAAAAATATATATAATAACAAATTCGTTACAACTGGAAAAATATAATTTTAATTTTAGTATCATATATAACATATTCTATCTGCTTTGTGGCTGGTAAAGTCCAAAGTATCAAAGGACCATGATTTTGGCAAGATAATCTCAAATAAATAGGTCTGTTAAATGGCGTGCCCGGAATATGAATCCGATGTTCATGTCTACGTGCCCCTTGCAACAGTACTTGCTCTGTTCTTTGAGTACGCGAGAATGCTATAAGCGTGACAGTCGAATTCTACTATTCGGGCACATAAGAATATTCAAAATATTGGCAGTGGATTCTGTTGACTAGCTGCCTCCCTCCTACCCTATCGCTTCCAAATCAGGGACGGCTATCCGTAAATATCCTTTGGGTTGTTTTGCGCGAAAAGTTGAAAACACACAAACCTATTTAAACGGCCTTTAAAAAAATGTAAACGCTCTATGATTTCAGATATAAGTACCAAAGATATACGAAAAGCAGAAAAACAAAGTGAAAAAGCATAACGCTTCAAACAACTTACCACATACCCAACCAATGTAAGAATAATTATTGCCATTGGGAAAAGATGTCCCTAGAAAAGTGATTGGAAACTGCCTCCTGGTGCCAAGCAAATGTAATCACCTCATCAGAGACAACCCTTACTTAACACACTTCTACATACACGCTAGAAAAACATTTCTTGTATTGCCTGTATTTCTTCCTTCTTTTTTTTTCTCCAAGATTTACACTTGTGTACCATTTCTTTTTCCCTGGATCGATTGTATTGGAACTATATACCTTGTTCCAATACGCCGAGATACCGTTTTAATTGTTTTTAATTTTATTTTAGCCCCCGTTCTGATTTTAGGAGGATCAAAATTTAAAAAATGCAAAAACGCATATTTTTATATAAGTTACCAAAAAATTTCTATCAATCAAATTGAGACTAGGCATAAAGATAACTTTAAAAATTGCCACAGAATACAGTGGACATATTTGTGATTTTCACCTTTATTTTGATTTCACAGGGGGTTAAAAATAGGTTTGTTTGATTGTTTGTCATTAAGCACCAGTCTCCTGGTGGGTCAGCAGTAAGTTTACGAACTTGCAACTCAAAAACTCCGGGGTTCGATTCCCCGCGGTGGACACTGCAGATAGCTCAATGTGGCTTTGCTCTTAAAACAAACACATATTAAGTACCAAGTTACACAATTGGTTATCTGTGCTGAGTCCACCGCGGATTTTACTGTTACAAACTCCCAAATTTACAATTGATTCAGGGTCAAAAGTAAAAAAAAAATTAAATTAGAAGCTTCGACCAATTATTCCCTTATCTTTTGACCAATCCACAAGAGACTTTGCTCAGAGATACCTTGTGACAACCTTCACAGATTGAATCAGATAAATACTAGATTTGTGCCTTTCTTTCGATTTTATAGGATCAAAGACCAAATATTTTGGAAAATTAGGTTTTTTGGGTTGTCGTTTCTGTATGTACCGTGTATCATTTCCCAAAAAATTAATGGTAGAGTTTTTGTCATTGTGAACAAATTTATTTACTCAGAAACTGACTGGCCTATGTATTATAGATCAAAAATCACTTTTTAATATCTCCAATACATCTTTATGCCCCCTTCGTCTGTCTTGGATACCAATCTCTCTTGAAATTCACTGTCTTTTTAGGATTTTATAAAGTAGATAGGTGTGGGGGAGGGTTATTGCATTAGCATGCGAATTTTGGCTGTTCTAGTTAATGACAGTGTATCTTTACGTAATGTTTAAGATTAGCCTAACATGACGTTATGTACAACAAAATCACTTCGATTCATTTGGGGAAAGTGTGTGGAAAAAATAATGAAAACATTGGAGAAAGTACTGTTACGTCTCCATTTGTTAATTGATTTTCCGTAACTTCGTTCCGACGAAACTTAAGTGACACAAGTCCTTTCTTAATAAAACTGGTTTATTCTTTCCGAATATAACTTTACCAATACACTCAACTTCAACAATCGCGCTAAACAAACGCTATAACTCTCAACGAACGTCTCTCGTGCTCTCTGACTGCAGTTCAATTACTCACTGTCAACACACACATTATTGCGTC